CTCGCTGGCATGGCACTTGTTTGCACTGGGCTCATTCATCGCAATGAACCTTATCTCAGGAAGAAAAATCCCCATCTGAATCACAGACGATGCAATGGCGTGCGTGTTGCAGTGTCACAAGATGGCCGATGGCATATTATCAGAAAACCTACAACCCAGGGAAAGACTGCAAAAACATCCTCCTCCCTAAATTTATAGACAAAACATAGAGATCGATGCTGGGATTTCTTCCTAGCCAGTAAGATAGCCCATGTTTTTTGTCTCATCCGCCATATTTCTGTCCTTTCTTCTCTTGAAGTCAGAACTCTGCGATCGCTTGTTTGTATCCCCTTCTGTGTGTTAACACCATTCTTAGTTTGTGAACTTTTTTTTTACCTTATCCCTGTTGCTTTGCCTACTTTTATTTTGCATATATTGCTTGATTGATATCATTTTTGAGCGTTTCTTTTCTTTCTATTGTTATTGTTTCTTGCAAACTTTGTTAATTCTGTTTGTTGGGCATTTCTGCCAGTTACATTTAACCATGGCCAATTACTCTACATGTATCCAGGTCAGAATCAGTCTCGTTGTAATTTAAGCTTTCGCCAGAGTATGTCAGCATGGGCATGTTCGTATGGCGTAGGATTATACATATTTTCATGTATTTGCATAACACACACACACACACACACACATATATATATATACGTGTGTGTGTTTGTGCGTGTGTGTTTGTATTCATTTACCGCCAAGGAGTAGAGTCTAAGCGACGGCCCAGGAGATAACTTTTGAGAACGAACCGTTTGCCTGCTTATATAAACAAACAAATTCGTAAATAACCTGTTAAGTAATATAAGTATGTATTGACATTGTGCCAGTCATAAATGAACGAGTAGTGGGCGTATTTTCGGCTGAGGAGACATAAAGTAAGTGTTAGACGCACACAAAATAAATACGACAGGCGACTAGAAACACTAAAGACGAAGAAGAAAAAGGAGAGGGAAAAAGAAAAATGGTAAAATAAAGGAAAATAATAGAGTTTATGTTTGCGTAATTACGATTTTCTATCACATGGACAGCATCATGGGTCATTTTTAGATCTTCATTTCCATCTTCTTAATGCATTAAACATTAAGTCAGTGTTGCGTTTCTGTAATAGTAATATTCTAATTTAATAGCATCCCGAAAATAGTCTACAATTTATTTCTCCTGTTGCTGCATAAACATCGGAATTTATGCAAACTAGTTCTCGCCCCCAAATTATTATTATTATTATTATTATTATTATTCTATGTGCCGTGTCCCTTCAAGACGTGGGCGATCATGGTTGTCCACAACATGCTGTCCTTTATAGCTCTAAGTATGGTTTGTCTTTTCGTTATCTCTCCCAAATACTGTTCTACCAGGTAGGTAAGTTATTCGACGCTTTCCTCTGTCTCGTGAGTGTCAGATTCTCTTGGCCCTCTTTCTTCATTATGTGTCCTAAAATTTTCAATTGTCTCTTTGATCCTTAACGTGTCCGTTTTGTTCCCGTTTTTTCTTAAAACTTCCTTATTTCTCACATGGTATTCTCAGCATCCTTCTGTAGAACCAAATTTCAGTATCTTCTTCATCTGCGAGGAGATTGTCTAAAATTCAATGCCATAGAGGAGGACTGATATTATATAACAGTTTAGTACATTTTTCTTTGTTTCTAAATAGATTTTTCTGCTTCTTAATGCATTGCTTAACTTTTAGAAGGCATTTTCGCTATTCGAAAGTGCTATTCCAATGTGCCAAACGTAAGCGTAAAAAGTCTTTGTATAATATCTGGAGTTCAATCAATGGCCTCCATCAGTCAAAACTGACAACGATCTTGAGAAAATAAAATTATTACAAGAAAGTAATATGTTAATGTTATCTATATACCGCCGTAGAGAGCCAGTAATAATGTAATAGTAACCAGGTATTGAACTCACAATTATTTGGGTTAAGTCACCGGATCCAATGCTTTTATCCACTGGGTCACAAGATTTGACCCAAAGAGTTATGAGTTCAATACCCGACAACTGCAGTAAAGAAAAAAAAAACTTGGAGAGTTAAAGGGAGATAACTGAGCCATCCAGAAGAAGCATGGCACGGGGAACGAGAACATTCTTCCCTGGTGGACGAAATGAAGGGTTCATCTTGAAATTCCAATCACCTGAAGAAAGCCGGAGCGTACAACGGTCGAAACGTTGTGAATATAGCAATAAAGATGACGACAACAGATCGAACAATGTAAATAATGTGAACTCTTACTTAATATCAGTTTTCTTATATGGCACTGAATGCTGGACAATCTCCTCACAGATGAAGAAGAGACTTGAATCAACAGACATGTGGATCTACAGAAGGATGCTGAGAATACCGTGGACCGAACATGTGAGCAACGATAAGGCTTTGGAAAAAAATGAAAGCAAAAAGGACACTTAAACCTAGCATTAGGAATAGACAGTTGATATTTCTAGGGAACATAAGGAGGAAAGAAGGCTTAGAAAATTTGACATTCAAAGGACATATTAAAGGCAAGTCGGACGGAGGAAAACAACGGATAATCTGCCTAGCGAGATTCAGTATATGGATGGCAGAACAAGTTTTAGGAGAGAGAGAAAAAAAGACAACATTTTTTAAGTGCTACATAGGACAGGGAAATTGTGGCGAGCTATGATCGCCCACGCCCCAAAGAGACACAACTCATACAAGAAGATGTCTGTTAAAGTTGGCTAAAAGTAATCCCATAAAATCTTCTGGGTTTAGATGAAGATAAAGCGACAAATAAACACGTAACAGTTATTTGGACAATTTGAAACATCAACTACAGGAAGACAGTGCATAGTTGTTAGCAGAAGGATGACCCCAAAATGCAAATTACAAATTGGAAATACCAAAATCGAACAAGTACAAAAATTTAAATATTTGGGAATTGCTTTAACAGAGGACGGAAAGTGCGATACTGAAATCCGAAGGCGAAATGGCATAACGAAAAATGCTTTTTCAAAGCGAGGCAAACTATTAAGAAACAGGAAACTTTCCTTAGAAACAATGAAGAGAGTATTGAACTGTTATGTAATATCATTCTTCCTATATGGCTGAGAATGCTGGACAATCTCCTCAAAGATGAAGAAGATACTTGAAGCAACAGAAATAGATTTAAACAGTGGGGTGCTTTCCCTCGACCAAAAATGTTAGCAACGACGAGGTTCTAGAGAAAATGCACACAAAAAGGAAACTTATACTTAACATCAAGAAGAAACAACTGAAATTTCTAGCGCACATAATGAGGAAAGGGGCTCGGAAAATCTGAAACTCACAGACAGGACAGATTGAAGGAAAGAGAGACAGAGGAAAACAACGCATAACTTTGTGAGCTTGACTAAATGGATGACGGAATAGGGTTTGGAAGAAATAACAAAAAAGAAAAAAAATTAGAACTACAAATGACAGAAAATTGTGGAGAGCCATGATCGCCTACCTCCTGTGGGGACACGGTACATGAAGAAAAATTATCTCAGTTAAAATTCTTCTTTGAACATGGAGTTAATGTATTTCTATTGCATCCACTCACAGTTTGAATCCAAATTATATACTAACCTCGAATAAATTGAATTTTTTTTCTTTCTAATTGTCGATTTTCTTAAGCGTTCAATTCATTTATCATTAGATTATATTTCTAAAAAGCAATGTCCGCTTATTCCATTCAATGTTTCCTGTATTAATTTACAACTGGATTACACAGGGCATAATGACACCTAAATAAAAAAATTGAAGACAGAGAAAGAAGATACAATAAGTAAATTAAAGTGTAAGGATGCTGAAAATGGCGACGGTAAAAATGATGGCTTCGCTACAGAAGCTATTATTTTTATCGTTATTTTTCTAAATTCATAAATAATACATTCTTACTAGGACGGATCAATAAGTCTATAACATACTATTAACTGGATAGTGATCAAAAATTATTCAAGTTATTAACATGCACCACTGAATTACTTTCAAGTTTCAAATAGATGAGGTAGGACCATTATTTTTTTCTAAGATAACCCGGGACATCCTTATTCCAATCACACCTTTTATTAAACCTACAAGAAAATCCATCGCTTCTCTAAAGTTAGGCTGTGAACATTCTAGAACAAAACGTTTTAATACAGAAAATTATTTTTTAAAATTAAAAAAAAAAAATAGTCACTCCTTTTATCCCAATCACCTCATCTATTTGAAATGCAAGTGTAAGTGAACTGACATTATATATATATATATATATATATATATATATATATATATATATATATATGTAAATGGAGTCAAATAAATGGTGTTTTCATCATTTGACAACGGTCTTGTTGATATATGTACTTATGTTTGTTCTAGTGGTACTACCCTTTGGATCGTGTTGATGGAAATTCGGGAAGCACTTAAAAATCTTCGACTGAGGAATCGAGAAATTCTTTATATAGGGTTAGAAATAAGTTTACTCTCTTCCCGGTCTTTTGAACAGGAGTAGCGGTTTATCCCTTGTTTCCTGTTTAGGATTTGGGTTTCAGGTTCCTTTTAAAGTCTTCTCATTCTCTTTCACTCCCAGTAGCCCCTTGCATCTTAGTGGCATTATCGCCTTGTTTGAGGAGAATTCATTTAAATTAATAATAATAATAATAAATTGGGAAATAACATGAAAAACATATCAAATATCGAAACTATCAATTTATATGCAACAAATGGAAAGCCCATATATATATATATATATATATATATATATATATATATATATATATATGAGTCTTTGCTAAAACCAGTGGAAATATAGTTGTAGGGAAAGAAAAGTTGGTCAGTTTTTTCCTATGTGCGTGTGTGTATGTGTGTGTGTGTGTGAGAGAGAGAGAGAGAGAGAGAGAGAGAGAGAGAGAGATGCAGAGAGATAGTATGGTGGTGTGAGGAGGTGCAAAGCTTAGCTAGGGGTCTTCGTGTGACGTCTAAATATATATGGTTCATTTATTTGTCGTCATATGACAATTCCCCTGATAACTTCTCACCTGCCACATACGTAACCTGACACCATGAAAAGACAGCCATAACGATTTATCTTGTGGTACGCTTCAAGGATTATCCTATTTATTGGGACAAACATTATTAATAATGATATAATTAAGAATTCGTGTGCTGGCGGTGTAATTGACTGCGACTCGGAATAAGAAATCGTAGAGCCGAGTTCGAATTCCACATGAGTTCCTGGCATTCACTTCTCTTTGGAAAAGTATCATTCCATCTCATCTATTCTCCCTCCCAGCTATGGGTTAAATAGCAGGACGATGTAATCTGTGACATTAGCTGACAACTTTTCTAGAGATACTGACTCAACAAAATCTTCCAAGAAGCCTGGGCCACTCGTGCTGATGCATTGGCTGAGACTGAAATTTTTCAGTTGTGTTAGTGTGCGCATCGTGTTGCAGGCGGAGAACACTCACTAACCATTGGTATATAGTACCCAGCGCAAATTTTCCTATTTTTAATTACAATTTTCCGTACCTGATTTTCTTACCTAAATAATGTTTTTCCGTTCCTATTAATGTTAACTCAAAGTATAAATGTAAAATATTTCAAATATAGATTTATATTTAACTTCTTTTTTTTTTTTTTTTTGATATTTTCAAAATCGGATATGATATACCCATCGTTAGTAGTGGTGTAACTTTAATTGATGGTTAGTGTTCTAGGGTTTTAATCAAAAATGCTGAAATTATTAGAGAATTAGCATCAAAAACCGATATAACAGACCTAGTTTAGCTTAAAAACACCTCTAGTAAAAAGAAATTAACATGTTCTGAACACTCGATTAGGATCAAATTTACACAAGTGCAAGGTTCCTAAGTAAAATTAAGAATAAATAAATAAATAAGTAGTAGTAAACCTGTACGAACTTAAGCAATCACTTTGGTTGAATTTCAGGTTTAATTTTCTGTTTCCACTGTTGTTGCTACTCTGCTTATTTCACATAGCCAGTCAGTAAGTCTATCTATCTATCTATCTATCTATCTATCTATCTATCTCAGACTGTTCATATCTATCTATCTATCTATCTATCTATCTCAGACCGTTCATATCTATCTCTTTATCTGTCGTAGACTGTTCATATCTATCTATCTATCTATCTATCTATCTATTTCAGACTATTCATATCTATCTATCTATCTATCTATCTATCTATCTCAGACTGTTCATACCTATATCTTTATCTGTCGCAGACTGTTCATATCTATCTATCTATCTATCTATCTATCTATCTATCTATCAGTCTGTTCATATCTATCTCAGTCTGTTCATATCTATTTATCTACGAACTCGTTTGGGACTTTTTATTCGCACTTTGAATTTATGACTTTGTTAAAGGCATGAATCAATTGCTCCCTGTCATCTGTTCGAAATAAATAATTCTTCTCGACACTAGCAAACAAAAACTCAAATGCTTATTGAACCCTTCCCTTATGACTATCTCCCTTATTTTTTCAGACAGTAGCCGTAAAAAAAATAATGATTACGACCATAATCAATATTGAAAGAGTCGAATATTTCACGGGTGATTACTTAATTTCAGTACCATCCTGCCGCCATCGTCACCAGCTCTTATTTCTACCAACTCCCATACAAGCCATTTTGCCTCAGCACCCACCCTGGATTTTTCCACCGTCCCAAGGTTGGGGGGGGGATTTTGGTAATCCTACATATAAACAAATGTTATGTAAACATGCCATTGATCAACACGGTGAGAATATGGCCGCCATTATTTTACTTTTGTTGGCTATTTTGGTCAGTTTATAGATTAGAAGCATTAGGAAGATTTGGTATTTCTATTCAGTGGATATATCAACACTTTGCAATAGTACACTGGGCAAAGACCATATGCTAGTAATGAGTGTCAACGAGCTGACAATAGAATTCAATTCACATCTAGATATATGGTGTAAAGAAAGAAAGAAAGAAAGAAAGAAAGAAAGAAAGAAAGAAAGAAGATAACTGAAGAAAGAAAGATACAAAATGAAAACCTGGAGAAAGAAAGAAAGAAAGAAAGAAAGAAACAAATAAAGAAAAAAAGAAAGAAAGAAAAAAGATAAAATAAAATACAAAATGAAAGCTGGTGAAAGAAAGAAAGAAAGATAGAAAATGAAAAACTGGAGAAAAAAGAAAGATAAAAATAAAATACAAAATGAAAGCCGGTGAAAGAAACAAAGAAACAAAGAAACAAAAAAAAGGATACAGAAAAAAGGACAAAAACAAAAAAAGTAACGAAAAAACCGAACAAGGAGAAAAATTAGAAAACTAACGGAAAAAACATGAAAAAAGTAAATCTATACATGATAAATGGACACAGTGAAATATTAGTATAATTTATTACTACTACTACTACTACTAATACAACTACTACTAATAATAATACTTTAACATACGTTTTTATGTTGGTAAAATCCAGAGAAAAAAAAATCACCAGTCTCAAAAATGGCGGTTTCATTTCAACCTTCCCCTTCCCTATCGTTCACGCATGGTGGTCCCCAGCGCGAACAGGATCTGTAGGTCTAATTCTATTGCCCTCGTCTCCGGACATTGTATCAAACGTGCGGTACGACGCTTGTCATCTCTTCTCGCACATTTGCACAATCAAATCAAATTGGAAGCATAAAAAGAGGATAAAAGAAAAAGAAAAAAGAAAAGAAAGAAAATGAAGTTTTTTCAAGCGAGAATAAACAGGAAAAGCAAAACATTACAGAATAAATAAATGAATAATAAAAAAAAAGACGAAAGTATTTCATAAATAATAATGTACTTGATACCACCAGCACCATGTTAAAGTGACCTGGAGCAAAGTGGGATGGTAAGGATACCTGCATCGTTAAGTTTGAAATAAACAAATTAAAGGAATGTCTTCAAATCTAACGAGAAAAGGCGAAGTTAATCTAAGGTCACATTAGAATAAGTGAAGATAGAAATAGCCAGTCACAAAAATGAACACCTGTCAAAGTGAGACATTTCGCATGCTAATCCTGTACGCAGTTTCTAGAGAGTTTCTCTTTCGGTCTAAGGTACTCCATGAATGCAGCCATGAATACAGCGAGTTTGACCTCTTCAAATAACTTACATGGAGTAAATCGTTGCACCTCCTCGGGCTAACATGCTCGGCTGACATTAAGTGACAAGCCAATATTGAATCCATTTCTAGGTTTGCTGCTAAGAAAGTTAGTTCATTGCTTCGTGCTAGACACTTTTTTTTCTCCAAAATCTATTTTACATATCTATAAGTCTACCATTCGTCCATGCTTTGAATATTGCTGTCACATATGGTCCGGTAGTTTTACTCTATAGTTAGAGACTCTTGATAAAATACAAAGAAGAATCAGCAATATTATTGGTCCTGATCTAGCGTTACAGTCACTTTCCCATCGCCGTAATGTAGATTCCCTGTGACTTTTCTATAAATACTTTCGGATGAATTCATTGCTGTGCTACCTGGATTTTATAAGTTCCACGGTGTAGTAATGGTGAGCCGAGTTCGAATTTTAGTCAAATTCATTACATTCACTTACGTGCTAATACCCTTGGGACAGGTATGACTCTTCTTCTTTCCCCAGCTATGGATAAATAGCAGGACAGACTGGGTTCTATAGCCTTGGATGGCAACTGGTCTACCGCAGAAAGAAATGGCAACCTACTGCGGGAAAAAAATCTGCCTTGAATGATACATGATCACCTAAGCGTGACTGACTATATTGGCGGCAAGGTCTCATCAATTCATGGTTGAATTGGCCAGATGCAACCGTAAGTTCTATGCTGACAGTTTCTTCTATCTCACTTCTCGCTTGTGGAACTCTCTACAAGTTTTAAAAATATAATCTTGGTTTCAAGTTCACCCCAGACATCAAGTAGAACACATATAAGTGAGTTCGATCCTCACTGGGTACCCCATACTTTCGGCCTTGTGTCACATCCAAGCTACGCTTGGAAAATCACTCGGGCACCTCGAGGCGGTGTAATGGTTAGCAAGCTTGTCTCGCTAGAACTATTATGATGAGTAGTGAGTTCGATCCTCACTGGGTGCCTCCTACTTTCTGCCTTGTGTCACATCTAAGCTACGTTTGGAAAATAACCATATTCATAGAGCTTCCATGGCCCCTCGGCGTGGTGTAAAGGTTGGCAAGCTTGTCTCGCTAGAACAATTACGACTGAATTGTGAGTTCGATCCTTACTAGCTGCGCCATACTTTCAGTCTTATGCTACATCTAAGCTCTGCTTAGAAAGCAACCATGTTCATACGGCTTTCAGAAATTAAAAGAAAAAAAAACTATATTAAATTCATTTGCAAGTTATTAGCACCAACCTCTACACTGATAGTTGTTCTTCTTATTATTATTGGCTCATAGTTTATTGTGACATCAGCGGCGAATTCTTCATCTATTTTCGTCGACAAAAAAAAGTAATACATTTTTTTCTACTGATATATAACTCTGATAAATTCATCAACATGTCTGATGCTAACCTGTAGGAGACTGACTCATTGCATCTTCTCGAGCTACCGTTTACCGCTAACATGAAGTGGGAAGATTATATTGATTGAATTAAAAGATCTGCTGCTAAGAAAGTTGGTTCATTGTTTTCTGCTAGACGGTTTTTCTTACGCATTTATAAAGCTATCATTCGTTCATGCTTTGGCTATTACTGTCACATATAGTCTAAAGCTTCTGTTGTCTATTTAGAGATTCTTGACAAAATACAATTATAATCTGCAATATTATCAGTCCAAACCTGACATCTCTGCTTCGTAACTTAGCTTCCCTTTGCTTTTTCCATAAACCTTTTCATGGTAATTGTTCAAATGCGATTCTGCTTTGGTTTTACGAAATCAGGCTATTTTCTACCACATCATTCCGTTCCATTCCCAGAGACGAAACTTCGTAAACTTCCCTATACTCTGTCGCTATATCCAAGGCAAATGTTCTGACGAGCTAAATTCCTTAATTCCACCATTTTAACGTTCATAGCTAAAACCCGCCATGCCATGTACAGCGGGATGAATCATCCTCATCTCCTTCGTATTCCATTGATATAAAATAAGTTCCATTGGGACAGCTTCTTCCCAAGAATCGCTACTTCGTGAAACAGGCTCCCGAGAGGATGCTTCCCCGATCACTACAGTCTTAACCTCTTCAAGTCTAGAGTCAACCGTCATCTTTCCTACATATGCTTATAATCTACATGTCCTACCCCTCCCCTGTTCATACAACACTTTAATTCAGTAATCCTCTACCTTGAGGGGCGCTTAGACCTAGTACTGGTTAAAGAATCAGACAGAAAATAAAATGTCTAGATGAGCACTTGCAATGCAGCAATGGTGAAGCTGCTTATCTTGAAAGCTACTGATAGTAAGTTATATTTCTCATTCACTGCCCCGGGGAAGAGAGTTCAGGTCAAAGGTCACATCGCCGAACAAATATCCAAAAACAAAATGAGGGATAGATCTGATGTTCGAACTGAAATATTAAGCGCATCCCCAACTTTATGTCCGACAGAAAGTAAATTATTCTTATCAAATACTTTCGGCGAATTTGCAAAGATATATTTTTAGTTTTATTCTATGAGCGTTGCAGCAAAAGAAAAATGGTTATTTATGACTGACTGTTTTTTTTACGGCTTATCAACCTTATGCAGTCAGAAAATATTTTTTAAGCTGTGGGAGTTTTTTTGAAAATAATAATGATTTACTAATACAAGTCCTGCTAATTACCCCATGGTTGGGGGTAGACGAGGTGGATTTATACATTTCTCCGGGGTATTTGCACAAAAGTGGATATAATGAACCTGACTGAAATTGGAACTCGGCTCTCCGACCTCCAATCCCGAGCCGTTATCCATTACACCACCCGCAGATCCAATACTAAAGCGCATGGTATACCCATCTAGGCACTGACCAGGCGTAGTGGTCGCACGAGAACCGGTGTTCCCGCGGAATATGTCCGTAAACCTAAATAGTTATGACCAGAAACATTTTTAAAAAATTGTGCGAGCAGTACTGTAGTTTTTCTACATTAAAAAAAATGTTTCGGGGATAATTTAAGGGCATTGTATTTTTTTTTTCCTGAAAATATTTATTTTCAACATCAAGATAATAATGTCGTTACCTGTTCAAGATAGTGTGTAAATGATTTTAGTTAAAGCCAAATATACTGGACTTTCCCGTCGTTTTCGACGAATGAGGGTCTGGCAGCTCAGTTCTTATGACCAACAGTTACACGACCTGGACCTATTTGATTATGATGGGGAAGGCTTTGGGCAGAACCAACCATACAAGAACTGGTGAACAATATGCCACAAGATCCCCAAACGAACTCCCGACAGGTTTTGAATTCAGAGTTGTCCTTCGCCTGGACTGTCCGTCACCAAATTTATAGGGCTCAATCTGTCTCGCTATTTACCGAAATCTGGGGGGGGGAGATGGATTCATACCCTTTCCCAAGGGTATTAGCACGTCCGTGAATAAAATGAACTCGACTGGAATCCCAGCCACTATATATTACTCCACTGTAAAGCCATATATATATATATATATATATATATATATATATATATATATATATATATATATATATATATATATATATATATATATATATATATATATATAGATGGTTTTAAGCAATATGCGGGGCGATTGAAAAGTTAATCCCTATTT